AATAAAAAATTTTTAAAAATTACTATAGGTCGAATAAGACTCCTATTCAATCCTCTAATAAAAATTTAAAACATTCTTTCTGTAGTTCTAATTTTACAATCTTCCCTGTGGAACAAATTAAAAGCAAGATTGATAATTTCAAATTGAAGAAGTATTATCCTCTTTCATTTCATTTCAATCTCCCATTGATCTCTAATCGTATTTTCGTCCAGTTCTAATAATGATCGGGATGATTGGATTTTAAGTCGTATATAGGAAATGGTTTCATCCCGCCCACAAAACGCAATATCCAGGATTCGTTACGCGTCCCGAATATTGTTTCACGAGTACGAGATATGTAATATCGCGTCCTATTTTCCGCACGTGGACACAATTTCTTTGTACCCACGCTGTTTAAATAATGCGATTAAATAGATGGAATAAAATGTGATAACGTTTCGGGATGGGAATAGAAACTTTTATATTCGACACGGGTTTCAATATGGAATTATAACTATAACTAAAGTCTGGATATAAACTTGATTTATGAACTTTTCTTCGCGAAGAATAAAAGCTTGAGAAAGTGATAAGGTAATCACGACATCAATATGTATCAGCTTTCTTCCGCGAACTTTTACTCAAGGGTAGTTAATTCGAAAAAGGGTTTGAAACTTCCTCCGAGATTTAACCAGTTGAAACTTCCAAGGTTTTATCCGATTAAAAGAGCTTTTTCTGTTTTCCTCGGGCAAGAAGAGCTCGCGCATATATACATACATATACATACTCGTTGTTATCGTTTTGACGTTGCGTAACACGAAACTGTATCGCGTAAGGATAATTACCAAGGTAACGGGTTCCCGTGGGGAAACTTCTTGCGCACGAATCAGTTCTGGCCATCTACTCAACGCTTTTATCATACATTATCAGTTTCTCATATACATGAAACCGTTATATCTAATCGTTAATCTGTACATTTTAAGTAAATTAAATACACACGAATTCTACTTAATTTCGGATGAATCACGTCCTATTTTTGAGTACGCTAACGATTTGATTTCATGGTTGTACAGCAGGCTTTTATCAGGAATTCATGGTGTCTTATCAGCGGTTAGTTTCGTTCCACTCGAGGCACAATCAAGGTATATACAGGTATTCTCGCATTATAACGCGTGAAAGTTTTGCCCGGTAGTCAACTTCGTCGTGTCTGACAAAAGGAATCGGGGCGATAACAGAAAGTTGGTCGCATTACGCGCTGACAAACGCCCGGGCATCGTTTTACAAAGTCGATTCGAGTCCGTTGGTTCAGTGACGATAAGCATGGCTTAATTGTTAAAATAAATTCATTACGAATATTGAAACGCGTTTTACTCGCTATTTACGATCGAATTATTTTGTGGACGAAATTATTTGGGGTTGACATTGATTAATATATCTCGTGGCAACGTTTACGTCACTTTTTTTTTTAAATGAGACATGACGATTCCCGGGTGGAACTGCTCGACGAGAAAAACGAATCTGTTACAAACAGGGATTCAGCACGTGTAAAATAGAGATCACGTTTGCGCCGAGTGAAAATTGGAATTTGTACCGTAGAGTCAATATTTGATTATGCTCACGCGATATTTACACTGCATTTCTGTAAAAATCAACCCCCCCGCCCTTCCACCGGGTTTCAACCCCTTCGCGCACGGCGCGCCGCTAAAAATTGTTTACGCATTTCTCCGCACGTGTCAGTGAGGTTTTGTTTTTCCATTCTCTTTTCGACTTTCCACGAGCCTCGCGCACGTACTCTGCTCCTCTCGAGGGAAAAAATAAACGCGATCCGCTTTTGTCACACGGAAAAGTTGTTCCATGGGAAAAGCTCGGTTATTTCAGGTTGTTTCGCAATACTCGCCAACTTTTACCGCGATTAGCCCGCGTGGGTGGAATCAACGGGTGGAAATAGCATTAACTTGGATTACCGTACCACTTCTCTGATTAGAACATTTTTCACTCTACTCTCAACCCCATGATTTATCATTTTATTAAAGAAGTTCACGTTTCATCCATTAAAGATTAATCAAATGAATGAGATGCTGCGTTGCGAGATTATTTTCCTGCTCGCAGAGTTTGTAATTATTTTTTGCAAGGGTTGGAAAATTTCCTGCAGGTGCAAGGCTTCCCTGAATCTCGTGATTCATCATTTCATTAAAATAGTAGATGCTCTATCGATTAAAGATTAACTGAACGAATGCGTTGCGAAATTATTTTCCAGTTCGCAGAGTTTGTAATCATTTTTTGCAAGGGTTGGAAAATTTCCTGCAGGTGCAAAACTTCCCTGAATCTCGTGATTCATCATTTCATTCAAATAGTAGATGCTCTATCGATTAAAGATTAATCAAATGAATGAAATGCTGCGTTGCGAAATTATTTTCCAGTTCGCAAATCTTGTAATTATTTTTTGCAAGGGTTGGAAAATTTCCTGCAGGTGCAAAGCTTCCCTGAATCTCGTGATTCATCATTTCATTAAAATAGTAGATGCTCTATAGATTAAAGATCGATCGAACGAACAAAATGCTGCGTTTCGAGATTAGTCTCGAACTTGGAAAGCTCGTAGTGACTTTTGGCAATGATTGTACCAGCGGCTGGAAAATTTCCTGCAGGTGCACGGTAGTTTCCCCGGTGAATGCGACCTCCGTGGAACTTTTGCCCAGGTACCTCCCGTTTACGTAGACGCATTCGCAAACACTCCACCCGAACGGTGGAATGTTTAAGCGGGGCTCCAGGAGGTAAAAAGAAACTAACGGAGAGGTCGTGGCAAAAGTTCCTCGCACGAGGCCAACTTGGTTCTCCAGTTGGTGAGCCAGTTTCAGAGAAATATTGTAATCATTGCCAAGATTCTAGTTACCGGTCCGCCAAAAGTTTCAGTGAAGTTTGTCATTATATGTAGCGTTAAGCTGCGACTTACACAATGTAACGAAACATTGTTATATATAACGAATTAGTTTCGAACTTCGGTACATAACATATTTCTGTAACTTGTTACAATTGCGTCCACGCTTTAGAACAAAACTTGGTCACAATCTCCACTCGTTTGTTTCCTTTGCGTCTCGAAACAGTTTACCTTTCTCGTTTATTTTATTATTATCATTTCCATTTATTATCAAAACATTTTATGAATTTGTTACAATGACATAAAATTTAGACGACATTTCTGACGAGTGAATATATAAGAACCATAAATCATCATTTTTGATAAAATTGCGTCTCGCGTTTGAAGTCGTAGCGGATTTTTTTGTTGCTCTGTACGGACGTTCTGCCGTTGTCCGGATGCTTTTGATAGCGCCTACGTCGAGAGGAAGACGAGCGCGTGCTCAAGAGGTTTTGCAAGCTCGCTGAATTTCTATACATACCCGACAGAGAAGCTCTGCCCCCGTCCCCATCCACCTTAAACCTATTCCTCCTCGGGGACCTCTTATGCACTTCAACCTGCACCGTTACTAAGACTTTCCCACGGCTGTATCCTCAGGTAATCTCCCTCCGTGCCTTTCGAATCTCAGCCCTCGGGTAACGAGACCTTACACACTACTCCTTTGACGTAAAACTTTTGTCGTACCGCTCGGTATATTCCGAGCTTTCTGTTACCTATAATCGGCTTCTCTTAGAAATTAGAGCAGAGCGTACAAACGATCTAGCAGATAAATAGCAAAATCAAGTAAATCTTCGTGAATTCAGACAGAGAATTTATATTCCCTTCTGAACATTTCGTCAACATTTTGATAAATGGTTTCGAAGCTTGCCACTTCCATTTTTCACGTAATTTTCACTTGTCCCACAGAAATGGGAAAACGATATTATATTATAAATTGAAAACGTGGGAGGGAATTCCTTTCGAAGGAGTCCTTTGTCGGAATCCTTTGTGATGCCGACGGATTGGAGAGAGAATGCTAGCGGGTTCAATCTGCGCTTTACATATTGCTAGTCCCACATAAAAAGGTAACGGTGGCAGCGTCGTTACGCTCGCTGGTATTTCAAAGTTCTCGTACGCTCGTAACTTGTAGTAATTACGAAGTTACCGCCCTTTTCTCGAACAGCGAACTATGTACCATCTTGCGAGTTTCATCTCGTTGAGTATACCGCAATAATTAATACAAACACGCGAACTTCTCGGTTTTAATTTATGTACATTGCCACTTAAAACTTTCGCCGACTCGCGAAACAGGCGTTAGACACTCGTTCGATGGAAATGAATAATCTGATAATTTTTTTTAAATAAAATATAAATAACTCGGTTGATCTCAGAAAGCCTAGATCAAATTGTTGTCATCGGCGTATCTGTATAAACGGACCGATTACGCGGAGCACAGAGATTTCTTTATACACGAGAAGTTGTACGTCGCGGCGTCAGTCGATTTCTTTATAACGTCGCGACTCGGATTTTATCATCTCGTCCCCCCTGCTTGTTATCACCCGTGCAAACGGTCGAAATTGATAAGAGGAGAAAGGGGACAGAACGACGCGACACCCCGACGACGCGACGCTTCTCTTCCGTTTAACGAGCAACGCTGGATACAGATTAGTCACGTAATAAAATCGTGTCGGAGAGGATTTTGTGAGTAACCGAGAGTACACGATTCACGACTTCCTACCACGTTGTCCACAATGCATTTCTGTTACGCTACGATTACACGGAAGCGGAGGTCTCGATTTTAATTATCGAACTTAATGAGAAATCCAGGAATTGTTCCCTGTTCGATACGAAATTAATTTATTATTATTAGGGAAACGTTGAAATCTGTAACGATCTTAATTTGTATTTATTGTCGAATTTCGTTCGGAAATTTCTGTAGTTTTGTTGTAACGCGCCGAGGGGATCGGGGGTTGCGTAAGTTCGATTTGGCAACGAGATTGATTTATGGGAACCTGTGAAAATTTTAGTTACGTGTCGGATTGTGCATTCAGGTTCTTCCTGAATAGAGAAATTCATCGGACGTAATAGTTGAGAGTCATGGGGTAGATATTTTTCAGTCTGAAACAGCAGAGTCATTTACTGAAATAAAACGTGGATTTAAACATTTTTTCGTTACAAAATCGATGGATAATTTACTTTGAACGACAATTATGATTAAATTAGATCACACACGACGTACATTTGGGATATATCAAAAAGATGCTGATATTAAATTCGTTCAAAACGACCATTTTTACTGACTCGGAAAAAAGCGGAGTGAAATACCCGAGGGAAGGAAACTCTGGGAAAGTTGCGGTGAGTCGATAATCGACGCGAGGAAACTTTCTGGCAAGAGCGACCGATCAAAACCCGGTTCACGGGACGGTTCTATAAAAACCCGAGAGGAGTCTGACACGCTGTAAAGAAAATTCGAATTCCTCCGGGCAGACGTGGTTCCAACTCCGCGAGAACGCTAGGCCTATTAAACGCACACCGAACAGTGAAATCTTTTTAATTGAAATAAAGACAAAGAGACAGTGAAGTGATGTCGCCAACGGGTGTGTCTAGGACTGAGTAAAAATCCAGTGGTACGATAAAAAAGGAAATGGAGGCGAACTCGGAACTGTCCGAGTCCTGCACCGAAGGGTGAAGAAAAAGGAACTGAGAGAAAGGATGCACAAACATACGAACCAATTGCGCGGTCCCGGAAACGGGCACCACGTTGCTAATCGAGGTCCTGTCAGACGGTGGAACAGCTTCCACGGCGGTGGCAGCGCCGGAGCGAGTAATTTCAACGACACCGTCGGAAATGGCAATCTGCCTTCGGGCGTGATCAGCCGAGCCTCCCAGGAGCCGTTCAGGGCCGTGCCGAAGGTCGTTCAGGCCCTCAGAAGCGAATCCGTCGACAGGAGTTATCGTGCCCAACCACCACCGCCTCCTGCCTTCCCCAGGAGACGGTTCTCCGTCTGGTGAGTCCTTCAGTCCCACCAATTTATACGTTCATCTTTTTTAATCGCCTGACAATTTCTTTCATGAATTATTTTTATATATATTGACGATTCCGTTCCCTGTTTATTATATCTGCTGAATTTATCTGTATCTTGCTGTTCGATTTCAGTATTACATTTTATTCTACGAATGTGTACACTCTAACTTGATCAAATAAGGGATGATCAAATTTGGAATTCTATGAATCAACTAAACTTCTACAATACAGCTGATATTGCTACGGATACTCGTAGCTTGCTTGCGAACAGACCTCGTTATCCTTTTATTAAGAATGAAACTACGTTCGACGAGAATGTAATTTTTATACTAAAAATCGATCGAGCTTCGTCCTCAATTTACCGATATTAATCACCGTTGGCAATTAATTTCCCGAACCAGCACCTGTAAATTAACACAGCTGCGACGTAAATCACATCGGTCTGTATTATCGCTATGAGTAAATCCGGCGAACCATCCCCATTGCAAAATACGCACCGAGTTAATGCGAACAATTATTTGAAATAATGACATTTTAAATAGACTCATTATCTTAATTATTTGGTCGACTCATTAATACTTGAATATTTTAAAAAGTGTATCAGACCAGAAAATTTTAACAAAGTTCGACCTCCTTTAATAAAGCATGGATTAAAATTGTTCGACTCACTATTTAATAATTATTCCTGTGTTAAAAATCGGGTTCGCTGTCTGACTCGTCCGACGGATTCTTGAACGCAATAAACGTGGATTGCGGAACAGGACGTAGGCGCTTTCTTTTATACAAGTTATATTATGTTACACGTGAAATTGGTGCACGCTGACGCGGCAGCTTTTATTGAGACGCTGTCGTAACACAACGTAACGCAAAATTTATCCGTCGCATAAATCAGAATGACGCTCGCGCTACTGAATGGGTGCCTGTGTTAAAATTTGAATATATTTCAATTAATCTCCATAAACGCGCGACAGCTGGCTGGCTTCGTGTCTGCCTTCTCGCTCAATTTTTCCTCGCAGTTTTCAAATCCAGTTCCAAGAACAAAATTTCAAAATCAAATTATTTAGATGTTCTGTCTTTAAAAGTTGCAATAAGAATTCATCAGAGATGAATTAGTAACCATACGATTATACATTTCTTGGAATATTGGAATTATTTTCATCGAAGTCTCGTTTCATTTTGAAATTTTACACAAGCGGGGATGATGGTGTGATATGGAATTTAATACGCTACGTCTGCTGCACATAAGTTGATCTTTTCTCAACAGAGTATAAAATGTCAGACTTGTTCTTAGTTCTTTCGACAAGTTTTAAAGGTAATCCTGAATAAACTCGACAAGAGAATACATAATAGCATGAAGTCAGTTTGATTCTTCTAACTGCAACATGAAATGCATTATTATAAAAGGTAGAGAAACCTAATAACGGCACGTCGGACGAACCGCCAGCAGCATAACCGTACGCGTTGATGATCAGCGTATCGGGGATGACGTTAAAGGGTTAACTCATGACGAGGGTTGGGCTAACCACGGTACAGGAGTTCGAATTCAATTTTCCGCAGTGCACACGCACACGCGTTACACGGCCTGCGTTAAACGAAGACCGACGATTGTTGGGAGGTCAAGAACCTTAGACAACCTTCGTTTCTGCTGGCTTACCGCGTTTGATGCACTACCGTCGATATTCCCTTCGTGCTCAAAGCCAATGCCGATTTATGCGATGCTCATCACGCATTATGTACCCAATGAGCATGCCATTTTATGTCTACTGTGTAATCGGAATTCGGTACGTTCTGCAGAAATTCATCTCTGAGTTTCGACTTTTATTGACATTACGATTACAAGCGATAATTAAATGTTCAAAGTTTAACCGATAATTCTTTTTAAACTCTACCTGTGACCTTATATTAAAACATTAGACATTTCTTCTGTACAAGCGATCTCGGTATACATATAATGGAGTTTGCGTGTTCGTTGGGCATTAATTACCTTAATTGGAGGCGAGATTCTATGGCCAGGTAGCTCCCACTGTAAACGTACCTCGCAGAAATCATAATATAGTTATGGAAATGGATTAATGCGGCGCTACTAGAAGCACACAGCCCAGCCACCCCTTAATCATCATTTTATCCTCGAATTTTGGTTATTAATGCGCGCACATCGATTTCAACAAATACTATTGTAGAACAATCGGATAATGCAGTATAACGCGTACAAATACACATTACGATTTCAATTACTCTGCCGTGCTAATTAGCTCGTTTTCTTCCCGATTTTATTATTACGTGTAAATCTTGATACTCATTAGTTCACTTTCGAACTCGATGCCGTGCGCGTAATTAATCGATTGATACGCAAACATGGTGCAGCTGTTACGCTTACCAAATAATACGCGATGAGATCGAATTATGCCTGTGGCCTGGTATACAACTTGACTTTGCGATTCTCGCGCTTAGCTTCCGGCAAATTTTTGTCGATTATCGAGGGGTTGCCGAGCGCGCGTAACCAAGGGAATTTCGTGGCTAATTCGTGATATGAAGTGGCGGCGACACTCGAGAGGGAGAGAAACATCTGTCGATGGGGCTCGCACCGCTTCTGGCACCATAAACAGTTAAAAGCCGGGGTTGAAAAATGTTTTCTCTCGCCCGGACCGAAACCGCATAGAATCGATTTTAACGGTGCCGATTCCGTTCTCTGTTTCAGCTTCGGCAAGCGGACGGGTGGCAGCGCAAGGAGACCGAACGAGTGCTTCGTCCTCGAGCCATCCGAGATGATCGTCGTAAGTAAATAATTGAAATAATTTATTATACTTACTTTCTCAGACGGTTTCTTATTTTTTGGTCCGTTCTGAAATTTCGTATTTCGTCGTGCATTTGCCGAATTTCGAAATAAAAAATACAGCTGGCCTGTTCGATTTACGTATTGAACGATGAAAAACTGTGCCGTGATGGAAGTTCGTGGGGAAGTTGGTTTACACCCGTGCGGATCTTCGTATCGGAAACGAACCACAACCCCCCGGCACTGTTCGAACTTCCGCCGTAATTTCTTGCTCGTTCGATTAAATTTAAAGGCCATAGGTTCATCAAGTCACTCGGTACGATTGGCTCGAATAATCAAGGGGCGCTTCAAACCCCTTTACGATCTCTTTTTACCTTTTTTTAAACAGGGCTAAACGATATTCGCATTTATATTTCGACGTCTGCTCTTTCGTGCGTTAATCTCTTGTCGCTCATTGGGATGTTATGATAAATTCTCGAAAAGATTTCCTCGCGCGAATTAAATTAATTTTTGTATGGAATAACGTCGAGCGTTTGCGATCTGACGGGACGTTCACTAAAACCGCAGGTCGCAGCTGAATACCGTTTGCAGTATCGTCAGATACCCGTCAAACGCGAAATCAATGTAGTACACGTTCCCGAGATTTTCCTGTCACTGGGACATGTGTCTAGCTTTCCCGTGTTTTTTTTTTTTTTTCATTCTTGTTGCCTGTCCGTTGAAAATCGTCGAGGAAGGAGAAATAACGGACTGCGTGTGTGTTATACGGAGAGAGGCAAGAAATCGACACGGCCAATTTCTCTTTTTCCAACCAGCGTGTCCCACATTCGAGGAAAACGACTCGCTACGTACACTTCGACTTAAAAAGAAGCTTCTTCAATTCGAAATACGATTGATATTAATAAATGTTTCTTATCTGTTCACGCAATTTCTTCTTCGTGTCGAAAGTCAATTATTTCTCGAGACAGTAAGAAAGCTTCTTTCTAAAGAATTCTTAACAATATGAATAATTTAAATGATTGTAAAAGTTTTGATCGTCGTAACTTTAGTCACGTTTACAATATCAAAACTTAGATCCGTACGTTGTTTCGAGATCTGTGACTCTTGATTCGTTTAACTGTCGGAGTTTTCATTTAATTATGCATTCGTGCATTCTGCAAACTGTCTTGAGACTTCTGAGCAACCGTGTACGCAAAGCTCGCCGTGGCACAATCAGAATCCCGACGATATCGCATAATGAAAGACAATGCTGTCCAGCCTCGAGACGCAATGTGCCAGACAGTTAATCAATAGTTTCTCCCGCGGCTGCCGTGTGTTACGCAGTATTCGCGTCGCGTTTTCAACCTACTCTCGCCGATTATTTATAATCAGCAATTAATTAATTAATGTTTTCTCACGTTTCGACTCAAATATGCTTCGTGTAATTCAGTACTTTTAAGCTGAGGAGAAACGTGTCGTCAGGAATTTCTTTGAACTTTTCAAAAGAAATTCCTTCCTTTCAGGGAGAGAGTAAACTTAGGATGACAAGTTAATAAAAAATTTAACGTAATTACATATAACTTTCAAATACGCTTTCAACAAATTCACCAGCGCAGTTGAAATTTGAAACAGAGCGCGTCGTCCAAAAAGAGAAGTGAATTTCACATCTGAGCGTTAACTAAATTTCTAAATCATAATATACCGTGTAATGTTTATTAATCCAGTCACCATTATTTGATTATCGTTTCGCTAATTAAGCTGACAGATTATAAATACGTAATTTGCATAATTTATGTGCACAGTTTACCTGGCAGAAAATTGTCGCGATTTTAGGCCCTACCGTCCCCAAAATTGTTTAATCCCCTTCGGTACTGAGATCTTCCTATTTTTTGTTTCAAGTATTTGAAATGTAGAATAAATCAAGATAATCTGTTCCGTGCTGCCATCTACGATAGGATCTACTTTCTACTTTACCGATTGCATGTAATTTTACATCACACCTGTAATCTACAGATAAACGGGTTCAACGCCATAAAAATATTACCATACCGTCCCTTACTGTGACCTCCCGGTGATATAGAGAGCGGTACAATCTACACACCATAAGTAGAAGACTCCTCGGTCGACTGCTGAACAAATTTTGATTCCCATAGATTAAATAAATCATTATTTCATTTATGATACTTCTTTGCAAATATTTATTGACTTAAATTAAAATTATACAACAGATATTTGCACACGTACCACATTCCTTCAATCTACATTCTTACAATTTAATAATCTCTTCTCGATGCTTTAGTATTCTTTATTATTTTAACTTTATTATTACATTATTACATTAAAATTATTTGGAAGATAGTTCTAGTGTTATCATAGTATAATAACAATTTTGCAACCTCGGTCTCTTGAACGGTAGTTGCTAAAAGATAAGGACGATGTCTCTGCTGAATCATGTGTTATCGATTAACAAATTTTGAATTTTCATTGCTGATCATATTTGTTATTTCAGTTTTGACTGGGCACAACTCGCCGTACTCGGGTACATACCTTCGAACAAAGTACGAACGAATTTTTATAAGTTTTCACTTGCAGAGGTCCCTATGGCTCATCTCTATGTATATTATTTTTATGGAGAGTCTATATATGAGCCGTTCAGTGCACATATCGATTAATTCCACTGTTTTGAAAAATCTTAAATTTATATGTGAAAGCACTTGGTATAGTCATAACTTGTGCTTTGACACATAAATTTAAGATTTTTCAAAAAGTGGAGTTAATCGATGTGTGCACTGAACGGCTCATACATAGGACCGGGCACAGTTCAGTGTTTGACCGTTCCAAGCCCGTGTATACTATACGTGAAGCGTGGTTAGGGAGGTGACAGATTAATGGAGGGAGATCTGAGACGTTCGCTGTTCGCCTATTAATATAAGTTAGAAGAAAAAGATAGAATCTTCGAAGTGTCCGTCAACGCCTACAATTTCTATGTAAGATATTTGTCACCATCGTTAATAATTAATTAATAAAAAAATTGTTGCATGGAACTGGAATTGTAAACATCTTAATCTTTATAAAAGCGAAACTATGGTGAAACCGGCGAATTGTGTTCAGCCACCCATTTCTATAAAACTTTTCTTATTTCTCGATAATAGATTTTTATGCAAAGCAAAACATCTTTTAAATACGCTTTGCTTCTGTTCATCAATAATAATCCTTCGCAAAATCGTCCTTTGCAAATTATAATAAAGATATTTATTCCAATATTACAGTCGTATAAATATCACTCACGAGTCCCATGTAATGCGCTATTTAACCTAATATACAGGAAGCCCCGGAATTATAATACTACGCCCGAAAATGAGGAGGAGCTGAGATGATTTTGAACAATTTCCCTCGCAAAAATGATGTCGAGATTAACGAAAAACTGGGACCAATCAGAGTGCTCGTATAGCGGACGCACAGGAGAGCAATAATTGCCTTCGACACTACCACGTTCGTATGCCACGCTCGTGACGAGATAATTTAAACATAAGTTACATGCAAGAGCAACTAAGAAATTGTTTAAATATTACAGGAAACAAAGCAATTAATCGTTAGTTACGTTCGCTGAATAAATGTAATATACTCAATGAAATAATTAACAACGTTATAAATTACAGAGTAGCTATAATTATAAGAAATGGGAAGAGAATTAGAGTTGAACGTAGACGGTCGTCTTTAAATCTACCTGCTCTTAGAAGGACGTAACTGAGTCATTGTACCGAAACCCGACACTTGAAGATAAGGACCATGGGTAGCAGAAGCAGTAATTTACAGCAGGTCATTAAGAGACAGGTCTCAGGTTTTACTTTCGAGTGTCAGGCTTCGGCACATTGAGATACCGATATGCTAGCAGCAGGTAGCTTAAGAACGAACGACTAAGTTTAACGCTAACTTCTCCCCATTTTGTGAACTATGAAATTTATAAAAATTTTAATTACCTCGTTGAATAGACAACATTTCTTCACTATTGTTCGGTCGATGGAGTTGAAAGACAAAATTTCAATCGGTTAGGAGCAATAAACATACAAAAATAAGAAAATTAAATTTTGAAAAACCATTTTTGGCGGAATTTCGAAAAATAGTTGAAACAAAAGTTGTATATTTTGACCTCCTCTACAAGAAAGGTCCTATACACTTTTCTTCTAATTCCAGTATTAAAGGAGTTATGGACTATAGCTAAAAAAAGCTGCTACTTGCGAGTTTTCTCTGACAATGAGGAGGTAGGCAATCATCTCGTTAAATACTGGAATTAGAAGAAAAGTGTATAGAACCTTTCTTGTAGAGGAGGTCAATATATACAAATTTATGTCAACCATTTTTCGAAATTCCGCCAAATAAACTTTTTAATGTTCAAAACCCGATTTTTGGCTGAATTTTGAAAGATGGTTCAAATAAAAGTGATAATTATTGACTATGCACTTCTCTTCTAAGCCCCTGATATTTACCTTTCAATTCCATCGACCAGGAATCAAGTAATTATCTATATTCTTGCAATAATAGTGGTTGGAACCCCTCGAATTGCAATCTAGTTTCTGAAGGATAAGGAAGATGTCTGTGATGCAACAGAATCCTAAATTCGTCTTTGTTAATTGACAAATCCTCTGTTTTCCATTTGCATTTCCTACAGCTTTCCCTACGATTATTCTTAGTTTAATTTTATTATATTTCAAAGTCTGCGGGGCATATTTATACAAGGCTTATAGTAAAAGAAATTGCAACATACATACCTTCGTTGTAAATAACAATTACAAAGTTTGCTGAAATATAAAAAGATATTTTATTTTGTTCAAAAATTATGGAGTATTGTGTATTAAACTATTATGAATTAATAATATTTTTGTGAAGATAATGTAGTTACAGAAAGTGCAGAAAGATGTCTCTGACGTAACGGGGATCGGTTACATTTTACTGGTTCCTTCAATTTGATGTCTTGAATTCTGATTGATGATCGTATTCCCCTAAGATCATTATTTTTATTTTAATATCATTATACATTAAGTTGAATAAAGTATTACATGGGACTCGTGGGTGATATTTATTCGACTTTAATACTGAAATAAATGTCTTTACTATAATTTGGAAAGGGCGTTCAGCCACATAAAGTTTTTATCAAATTGATCATTTTTAGCATATTTATAAGCAGTTTTCTATTATATTCAAGGTAGTTAGAAAAATGGAGGGGGGAATAATGTTCAACTTGAATTTGTTACAATGTGGTTGTTGAGAGATGGTAACAATGCCTGCGAAGTATTGATTAAAATAGTCTCTCATTTGAACTTCGATTACTGACATTGACACCACACCCTAAAATCATTATTTGAATTTTAATGTTCAACTTATATAAACAATTACTTGGGTGATTGATATGAACGCAATATAAATATTGCAATCTTAACGTTGTGCATTTTAGTTACTGAAAGGTAGAAAGGTGTCTCTGATGTAACAGGATCCTGGATTGCGCTTTATTGATTAAAATTTGGAATTCTGTTATACATGTAGCTAAGGTATTGCACAATATCTTGCAAAACGACGCAATTCGTATTCGCCCGGATTCCCATGATTTTAGCCTTTTCAGCGTTCTATCTGTTATCTTCACAATCAGAACTTTTAAGCGTTCTACGTACATTTCCCTTTATCGTACTTTGACCCCTTATCTGAAATTCATTTTGGTTTTCTCGTATGACTGAAACTTTGCAGATATCTTATAATTCCCAACGCAAACGTAGCTAATCGCCAAACTATGAATTTCGTCGGATTAAATCGCAGTTCGAAAGAGTCCTCGAGCTTTAAAACGCCTCTATGGAAATTTTAGTAGTGTTCTAAATCTTTTGCCATGAATCGTTAAAGAAATTGATATATAAATCGCAGTTCGAAAGAGTCCTCGAGCTTTAAAACGCCTCTATGGAAATTTTAGTAGTGTTCTAAATCTTTTGCCATGAATCGTTAAAGAAATTGATATAGAATAATAAATAAAAATACAAATGTATTATAAAGATGATAA